AGTTCATTGTGATTTTTGAGGTTCATGTTGTATTGTAGTGACATCTTGAAAAATATATTATAGAACACATATATGATACACTTAGCAGGATTTTCTATTTCTTCACAGCTGGATCAGAATACATAGGAAACTGAGCTCTAATTTTCATTTATGGGGGGAAAAGCATACTAAATTTCTTTTCTGATGGTCTCTTTTCGAATTGTCAATTTACCTATCATTGATTATTTCCAACTTTTCTTCTCTGGACTTAACGTTTTCCATATCCGCTTACGTTATGTATGCTTTGCCTTAGGAATAAATGTAGCAGTTGATTTTTGTATTTTTCAAGAACAATTTTCCCATCAGCCTGAAACCATCTCAGCACCTGAGAAAACCTAAATTAAATCTCAAAAGCCTATTTTGGCATTCCACTTTAAGACTTGCTAAATGCAGACTGTTGGCTTCGAACATTAAAGAATCTCTCTCTCTCTCTCTCTCCCCCCCCCACCCCCTTTCCTCTTTTAATTCTTTCCAATTCAAAGGAATATTGGAACAACATTAGGTAAAGGGTCTTGAGACTCTGTCTATCATCAGCAAGCTACCTCTGAAAACAGAAGGGAAGGGAGCCAGATTTTTTGGGCGTAGGGGGAGAAGCTGGCCAAAGAAATATTTAGTTGAAAATGGACCACATCCAGCCAGAGGCTAGAAAGAATAACATTCCCCCTACGGCAGAGGCAATGAGTCAGCAGCCCAGTATGTTGCTGATTCCTTCATGCTAAGCTCCATCCCATCTCCTACCTGGTCATGTGACCCAGAGTGTTGCTATCAGCTGGGATTGGGAAAAATTCCCAAAGCTCTACTACCTTGTTTCTTCTTTGCTTCCCCTTTTGTTCCGATTATTAGTTCTGAGAAATCAAAAGTGCCCACACTGTTTTTGACTTTCAGATATCACTCCCATATGAGTACTGGAACGTGCCGTACCTTGTATATGAATATATAATATAAAAAGAATATAATTCTTAACTTTGATGTCTTTCTCTCTGAAAGCTTGGAGGTGAGGGATTGATTTGGCTTTGCTTGGTTTGGTTTTGCATAGTTGGAAGAAAACAGTTGTGCCACTTATTAAAGTCGTTTGACGTAACATATGGCTATAAAGGTATGTATTTTGTTGTAATAATTACATGGCTGTAGGATTTACTTTGGATGTATACCCATCTTTAAATATCTTTTAGACTGTTCCAAATGGAACTTCAAAGGTGCATCAGAACAGTACTTTAGAGAGCATGCAGACAGTACCCCGCAGCCCTGGGTCCATTTTCCCCCTTTTACTCCCCCCCCCCCGCTTATCTTTTCTTTGCTTATAAAAGCATTTGGGGAAGGGGCATGGCTTCAGCATCTGCAGTGGTTCTCATCACTACTACTTTCTTCCAGTATTTAATGAACTGGAGATCTGCCCTGCCACCCGCTCCCCCTGAGAAAGGGAACAAGGCACACAACACAATTACCAAATGCCTGAACCAGGCCTCTCCAGATACACCATTTCTTTACACAATCACCATCACCGAAGAATCTCAGGAATCCTGCTACTGAAGGTTTCACCGCAAATAATCACTTTGGTCAGTGTTGTCTAACGCCAGAATACTGATATAATGATAGAAGACTGATGAAGATGGAGAATTTTAAAAATTCTTGTTTTAAAAAATGTGCTCAGGTATAAAAGTGTCCCTGCCTGCAGTAACAGGTGCATTTGTGGGAATGAAAAAGATCTAAGTGGATAGTCAGAGCATCTCATGATCTGTACACAGCATTGCTAATTGTCCATAAAAGACAAAACAGGAACAAGTTGTGTGAACTCCCTGTTACAGGGTTGCACAAAACATTCCATTTGGAGGGTGGAACATTTTGGGGAACACCAGGATGTTCTTTTTGTTTTGTTGTTTTCAGAACAGGCCAATCCAGCTCTTCCAAGGAGGTGATCAGGGAGTTTTCTACAAGTAAATCTTCTGGAATAGGAAGTGGTATGACTTGCTACCTCAGAAGATTTACTTCCATAAAACTTGCAGAGCATCCCTGGAATGGATGGACTGGCACTATTCAAAAGTAAAACAATGTTCTGGTTTTCCTAGAATATTCCATCCCCAGAATAGTGCATTTTGAACATCCCTACTCTTTTGTGATTTCTGCAAACAGCAATAACAATAAAAGCTGTAATATCATACAGAGGAAGCATACTTATTCAGCCCTATTGAAATCAATGGGAGTTATCCTAAATCATAACTATATCTTTCCCCAAGCTAGTCTGAAGAAATAAAGCCCCAAGTTCTCCCCAACCCCCCAAACTAATCAGAAAATCCAACAGAAGATAATATATGTAGCTCAGGGTTGAACTGTGGAGTCCTTGGTGTTTTCTGAGTTTGGTTGTTTGCTTGCAGACATTTCATTACCCAACCAGGTAACATTGTCTGTGCTAGTGAACGTGGTGTTTGCTCCCTGTTTACATACAGTAGCTTGCCCTGCCAGTGTTGGGGGTGTGTGGTTTTTTCCTTGGTAGTTCCTTGATTAGGGTATTGTTTTCTGCTTGATTGTTTGCCTGGTGTTAGTCCCTACTTATCTTTGTCTTTTTGTTTCCTTCTTAGCTTTCTTATTGTCTCTCTTGAATGGTGTGTAAATGTAGTTTATTTCTATGTTTCTATTGATGGCTGATTAGCCTGAATGCCAAGTTTCCAGGAATTCCCTGATGTTTTTGGATTTAGCTTGGTCTAGGATGCTCACAGTTTCCTATTGAAACTATGATTGAGTCTATGTGTTGTGAGATTAAGGAGTTTTCAGTATGTCTTCTGACTGCTAGTTGGTGTTCATGGATGAACTCTGCTAGTCTTCTGCCTGTCTGCCCTACATAGTGGCTGTTATACTCCTTACAGTGTATGTTGTACTGTAGATGACTCCTGTTTTTTCTTCTTGGGCTACTGAGTCTTTTGGTTTACTTAAGAGGTTTTGGAGGGCTTTAGTTGGTTTGTGTGCTACGGTAATGCCGTGTGGTTGTAATAGTCTGTTGGTTGTTTCTGAGATGCTTTTGATGTATGGTAGTGTTACCTTTTTCACAGCTTGTGTTGGTTGTGCTGTAGTGTAGTTGGTTGAGTGGTCAGGGACTTTTTGATAAATTTGCATGGGTGTCCATTTTGTTGGAAGATGTTGTATAAGTGGTCTGTTTCATTTTTCTGGGATTCTGAGTTGCTGCAGTGCGTTTGTACTCATCTGAATAATGTTCTTACATAGTTCCTCTTGTGGGAGGTTGGGTTGTTACTTTGGTAATGGAGCACTTGGTTAGTGTGGGTTGTTTTTTGATAGACTTGTGTTTCTAATTTGCTGTTGTTTCCTCCGCTGGTGAGGATATCCAGGAAGGGTAGTATGTTGTTGTTTTCTTCCTCTCTGGTGAATTTTATTCCTTTGAAGATGTTGTTGATAGTTTCATGTGTCTTCTCTAGTTGTTCCTCTTTTATTATGACGAAGATGCCGTTTATGTATTGGATCCATACTTTTGGTTGTATGTGTGCGAGTGCTATAGTTTCTCACAACACATGGATAGACTCAACCATAGTTTTAACTGGGAAACTGTGAGCATCCTAGACCAAGCTAAATCCAAAAACACTAAGGAATTCCTGGAAGCTTGGCATTCAGACAAATCAGCCATTGATAGACACACAGAGATAAACCATATTTACACACTATTCAAAAGCTAAGAAGGAAACAAAAAGACTAGAACACATCCTCCCCAGCAGCCTACACATAGATAAGCAGGGATTAATACCAGACAACCAAGCAGAAGACAATGCCCTAATCAAGGAACTACCAAGGAGAAAACCACACCACCGCCAACACTGGCAGGGCAAGCTACTATATATAAATAAGGAGCAAACCCCACACTCACTCACACTGATGATGTTACCTAGTTGAATAATAAAATGTCTGCAAGCAAACAACTAAGCTCAGAGAGCACCAAGGAATCCACAAATCAGAAAATTCTGACAAAGCCAACATCCATAGCATATTTCTGTCTACTTTCCATCATCATTTACCAATTGTGTCCTTACTGCTCCAAAAACGATTAAGTACTATCTACTGCCACTGAAAGGTTGGCCATCTTATCTTAAATCGGAACATCAAATTCTTCAAATGACCAGTATGAAATGACACATGTTTATAGTGGCCATGCTATTTGTAATGATTCCTTGTAGGTGCAGATACCCTCAGTAGCCTTGAACATATTTGCTGAAAATAGATAGAGCTCTTAATTTCTTACAGGATGCAAGTGTCTAGGATTGTCTCCCACCCACTGCTTGCATTAATGGGCTACAGGTAATTCCATGTACCAGCACTTTCAAAAGCCTAAAAATAGGCAGCTTTACAGATGCATGTAAATTTTAGCTTGGTTCTGTTGACTTTGACATTTAATGGCACTGTGGAATCTGGATACATGCAACATGGGCCCCTTGTATGTTGATCTCAAGGGCACGTGCAGACTATGGAATGTAGCTGGAGATCAAGAGTTCCCACGGTTTCCCTTCTAAAAAAGGAAACAAAATTTTGCTGCAGCTGTTGATCTGATACCAAATCTGGATTAGGTTCATTCTCTCATTCACTCTTTTCCCTTTCCTATTCCTCCTCTTTTAGCAGCTGCAACAGCTTTTGATGATCATTAATCAATGGAATATTTTTGTGGCTAAAGCAAATGAAAACTCCCTTAGTGCAAATGCACACATTTCATGTGTACAGAAAATACTAAGGGAACTGCCTGCTGTGCAGTAAGTTTCAGACAAGCTGTAAGTACTTTTAAGGAAGACCTCTGTATACAGCATTCATAAACTTTCCACTCCCTCAGTGCTCACCTAAGTTTTTCAGTCCCAGCACATTTAAAATATTTAGACATGCCTGGGTTTAAACCTTTAAAACCTTTATCAGCATTGTGGTGTGCACTCACAATTGTGGAAACAATGTTTTGTCCACTTATTTAAAAACCAGTCATACTTTAGTTTCTCTTCAGATCATATAAGTCTTTTGACTTTTACTAAAGATTTCCATACAGAGGAACATTTCTAGTGAAAAATCCATCATTATCAGTGCCTAGAAAGTTGGCTTAGATGCAGGAAACTCTTGTTCAAATATCTGTACAGCTGTGAAACTCCAGAGGCAAATCACTCCTAATGCTGAGCCCACAAAGGGGAAAAAACAGGTGCAAATGTTATAACGTATATAGGTCTCTTCAGATTTCCAATGCAACTGCTAGCTCAGGTGCCATTTAAATTATTCTCTCTCCACTTGAAAAGGGAGTTCTGACCAGTTTGCCTAAGGATATGTCCACTGACATAGTTTGGGTGGAACAGAAAGCATTTTAGGGGCATCATTCAGGGGCTGGGTTAAATGTAGGGGACAGACATGTAATAGGTATGTACTTGTTCTTTCCAGGGAGTTTCAAACCCAGAAACTCGATTTCTTACATGCATGAAGAATTTCATTTATTATTTATCAAATTTATATCCTGCTTTTCCTTCAGGAACTCAAGATGGCAAACAGAGTACTCCTTCCTCCCATTTTTCCCCACAATAACCCTGTGCGGTAGATTGGGCTGAGAGACAATGACTGCCCCAAAGTGAGCTTCCATGGCTGAAGCTAGATTTGAACCTGAGATTCTCTGATGCTAGTCCAACACCTTAACCACTACATTGCTCTGCTTCTCAGAATGAGCTGTTCACCAATGTTGCATGGATGAATCCTTGCAGTGGAAGGTCCATGTACTCAGGTCATAACTTACTCAAGTTTCTTTAAAAAATCCTGGACTTTGCTAAGAGAACAAAATATCTTAAATTACCTCTGGAAGACACCAGAGCTATAAAGGGATGGATTTTCAATATCACTTGTCGGCTCTTAATGCTGTCCTGGCTTACATGACAAGCTGGGCCATACTGTGGCTGTTTGTTTTTTAATGATATGCAAACCAAGCCATTGTGATTGATAAATCATAATTTATGGCTTAATGTGTTGTGCAATTTAGACTGTATCTTAATGCAATGAATGAGTCCAGCCTCAGTGATGCAAGAGAGGTGACTTCTGCAGCACATAAGATCTGTGTCTATCTCATAGACTCCAGTATCATGCCTATTTTCTCCATCCTTTTTGCTTTCTCAATGAATTTCTTTGAACACTGATATAATTAAGTTTTCTCATAATTCTCTTTCTTCAACAATGTTATGAGGTCAAATATTTCTAGGGAAACATGCAAGGCAAAGAGAACGTAAATTAAGAATTAGAAATCAGAAATGAAAGGCAGAACTTGAAGCTTTGGCAGTTCATCCTTGGTTCTATAGAACTGTTTTGGGGAGAAACAAATTCTTTGCTGTCTGATGTTGGAAAATCTTCTGAGAGTTCCTGCCTTTGCAGTTAATTGCCCAGCCACCCTTCTTCCCTTTTATTTCCATAAATCTTTAATATCTTGTTTATTCCTTTAGTATAATTAGAATATTTACTTGACACTTCAAAGCCAGTTAATACTTTAACCCTGAATGTACTGGCTTCTTTGTTGGTTTTTAGGATTCTTTTTTTCCTGTCCTATTTATTAATCATGTCTGCTCTTTTACCCATGTTCTTGTTTCAAAATTGCCTTTCAACCCACCCAGAGGACTCCAGTTATTGAGCAGGTAAAACGATTAAGAGCAAGAAGAAGAGGAAGGGGAAGATGTGGCAGTGAATTCAAGGAGACTGGTTCCAGCTATGGCTATGTGGGCAGTTTTACTTAATTCCATTATCTTAGAAACTTTTTTTTAAAGACAATTGGTATATATGATATGATTTTCTATTGACTTGGGATTGTTGCTTATAAATATGTAATGGCAAATAGAATATTATGCATGAAATATTTATATTGGTCTACACCACTCATATTTCTGAGTTGAATACTCTAATGTTAAAGCCTTATGATAAGTGAACAGGGCTTTTCCATGGAGTGCTGAAAACATAAACCTCATGAGAAATATGGTTTAACTGTCAGAAACATGAAAGCCTTTTATTATTCATAGACCTTCAGTCCTATGCATTGACATGGCCCTGACAAAATTGACTTTCAAAGATTCTGATATCTATATTCTTTATTTCAAACTTTTATGAAAGATTTTCTAGTTCGAATTTTAGTAGCCTGATATAAATGCCTGTTTATATGAGCTGCATTGGGATACCATCCGGAGATCCTAAGTAAAATGTGAGTAATGTTTCCTAACAGATAAGAGAGGGATTAGAAGATGGCAGTCACAACCATGCAGTTGAAACTGTGGCCTTTTTTTAGTGTGCCACAACCTACATAAAAAGGGTCAGGGCTTCAATCACATGGTTGTGGCTGCCATCTTTTTTGACCCCCTCCACTTGTGGACACCCCTGCTGATACAGGAATTAGGAACAGTTAAACCATAACTGTTCATCATATTTGCACTGTTTCTTCAATAAGTAGTTTTAAGGAAATCATAGCTTAATATGAGGAGTGAACTCAAGTGCGGTGCATAACTAGAGGACAAATGATGGCTGGACAGACACTTCACACTGTCACTTTAATGTAAAAATATCACACAACATACCAAACCACAAAGCATGGTATGTTTATAAATTACACGCCCGAGTTCACAGAGCATCTCAACCAAGAACAAATCATACTACGGCTGAGCATCTTGTGGAAACCAGAGCAGCATCAAGAGCTCAAAGTGCTGAAATTCCATCCAGCTTCTGCTTTGATAACTTTAGCAAGCAATTTAAGACTTTATTTATACTGGCAGGTGTTTGGTGGCTTAACAAAACACAAAGGAAAGCTTCAGAAAGCAGGGCCACGTTGTGATCTGGACCTCATTCTACAAGGAACCACCTATGCAGCCTTGATGCAGCCACTAGCCTTTTCTGTATATATGGAAGAAATTATTCTATTTATGATTAAAACCTTAAGTAAACCTCAGCTATGTAACAAAATATGAATGTCATGTGCATTATTTAGATGAAGGAGCATAGAAATATTTCTCTTAATACAGAAGTTAGAAAAAAAGCAGGTTTGATTTCTCTTTCAGAAAAAAATAATTAAATACAGATTTGAAATTATTCCCATTGTTGCTTAATGGTTTTAACAAGCACAACTAGGCTCAAGAAAATTTAGTTGGACATATAAGATATTCTTCTGCTTTGATTAATTCTTAAAGTTTTATTCAGTGACAGCAATGATGGGGAGAGGGGAGTCAAGATAGTAGATGTAACTGTGAATCCCTATTCCTTTATAATGCATCGATGTCATAATCACCCAGTTGCAACCACCACTCAGACTTTTTACCCCCCCCCCTCCTTCCAGACATCTCTGGCCTTATTCAATCTAGCAATACCTTATTGCCAGATTAAAATACTGTAAGGCTTTAGCAATCATCAAGCAAAGCAATAGAAACTAGAATGGTGCAACAAAATATCTTATGACATCCTCAAACTTTTCTTATGCATAAAACATCTATTAAAGGCCAAATCTATAGGAGGCTGAAAGCAATGGAATCCGAAGAAAAAGCAAACAATACAAACTGTGACTGTAGAATTTGTGGTTCTTGCATTTCATTCTGACTTTACACTCTTGAGTATCTCTTGCCTCCAATGTAATATATCTGCCAACTTAGGATAACACTTCATCCCTCTAAGGTGACGTGACCCCTAGTCCATGCGAGCTGATGGAAATACAGTTGTTAGCTTTTAAAATATTCCAAGACTTTTCTTTTACTGTTGTGATGTAGTGTTTCCCAAAAAGAATTCTCCTGTTTTGCTTTCTTTGCTATATTCTGCATCTCATCCTTAAAGATGCTCAGAACAGGAGCCAAAGGGCGCTTCCCTACCATATTATAACAATGCAAAGCAGTAGGTGTGGTGGATCAACATCGATCAGACCCAACCCAGATCTTTCTTGCCCAAGTGCAAAATAAAATCAGAGCATATCAACCTCCCAGGATACTCTATAGCAGACTTCAAAGTGACAGTTTTGGGGAAAAAAACTGACTTTAACTCCACTATTGAGCAAGAGGTTGCTGAACACACAAACATCAAAATGTGTAGGCAATTTCAGAAGCTGTCAACAAACACAATGGGTTTTTAACATATAACAAAAGATACTGATAATCTGCCCAATCCTAACCTGCATTTGCATACCAAACCCGTCTTCTCTCCCTCATTCTGCCTCACCCCAATTTAAATCCTATACTAGTCTAGCCACTCTCTGCATTGATGGAATGGCAGCCCAAGAAAGCTCATGCCTTTTAATAAAGTTTGTCTTTATTAAAGGTTCCACCAGACTCCCTGTGATTTTTTGCTATCAGATGCCTAAGTCAACTTTTCCTGTCTTCTTTTAAAATTTGGAGCTATCTTATGTCCCCTATTTCCAGTGTTCAGACTATGAGTGCTGTTGCTTATGAAGCCAAAGTGGCATAACCCGTGGGCAAGATGGAAATATCATCAAGACTGGAGGAAGCCCAAAGCAACCCACTGGTGACTGAGCGTGTCTAGTGTTCATGGAACACATGTTCAGTAAATCAAAACAGAAACAGCATAAACGGCATAGAGGGAAGTAGAATGGGATTCTGAATACTGTAGTGGTACTTCACTTGTACGCTTTAATCTCTGTCCCTGGAGAGATGCATGGCAAGCATAGGAATTAGGTCATTCCTTCTGAGCCAAGTCAATCTCTAAATCAGGAATAGACAACCTGAGGACCAATATGCAATAAATTCCTCCCTTGGCATCCGTTTGGCTTTGTGCCTTACTGATTTTATTTTGTCTTGAAAGGAAATCTGAATTCTTTATTTACAAGAATGCCTTTGAGTTCCGTACAAATTCCACAGTATTTTTAGAAAAAAATAAGTGGTAAGTTATTATAGCTTACTGCTTTGTCTGGAAATGTACATTTTTGCCCAGAAAATAATCACAAGGGGAAGTTGAGGTAATAGGAAGCATCCTGGGTGGCCCAAGCAATGAGAGGGTACATCTTTACCAAACCGCCTGCCTTTGATCAACGGATGCTCTATTACTGGCTATATCCACAATTGCATTGTTGTTGCTGAATAGGCAACCATCTAAAACATACAT